ACAACAAGTCTAAAAAAATGGAGACATTACTGGGCCCGCTTGAGCAAATGGATGAACAACGGGAGGACAGTGACAGTGAAAAAAAATTTAAGATACAGGGACAGAGTGATAGTACAGCAGGTAGGGCACTTGCCTTGCCCAGGATTAAACCCAGGTCTCATACATCAAGGTATGTGCTCTGCTACTGAGCCACATCCCTGGAAAATAATTAAATACGTATTTAGGGGTCAGAGGGATAGTACAAGGGTTAAGGCATTTGCCGTGCACATGGCTGACCCCAAGTGTGATCACCAGCACTGCACTACACATGGTCTCCCAAGCATTACTAGAAATGATCCCTGAGTCCCCTTAGTTGTGGCCCCAACCCTCTCCACTTCATACAGTGGATCACCATCAAGAGCTCTGAGGGAGATTAAGACAGGGCAGGGGGGAGGGAAAGGGGGCAGGCGGGGATCTTTGCTTTGTTTTCCTTCTCTCCCCTCCTCCCTTCTCCCTCTCTCTTCACATGTTGCAGTTATTACTATTGTTGCATTGACCAGGGATCACACACAGGCCTGGCTTGTGGGCTCACACATTTTTGGGGGAAGTTGTTTTGTTTTGGGGGTCACACAAGGCAGTACTTAGGGCTTAGTCCTGGATCTGGACTCAGGGATCACTCCTGACAGGCTCTGGGGACCATATGGAATGCCTGGGATTGAACCTGGATCGACTGTGTGCAGCGCAAGTGTCCTACCTGCTGTACCATTGCTCCAGCAGCTGGAGCTTGAACGTTCTTTTTTTTTTTTTTAACTCAACAACATAATCTTTATTTCTTTTACAGTTTTTCATTTCTAAGAATAAAATTTCTACATGGTACCTCCTAATTCTTTATTTGAAAAACATCAATGCCTACCATATTTTATGACTTATTTTACTTTATTTTATTTTTTTTATGTAGGAGTACTGCTATTTATTCAGCCACTGATTAGCTGATTGAATTGGGCATGAACTCCACCTTATTTTTTTCATAATTTTATTTATTTTTTCTTCTTATATTTATTTATTGAATCACTGTGGGAAAAGTTACAAAGTTTTCAGGTTTAAGTCTCGGTCATACAATGATCAAACACCTTTCCCTTCACCAGTACTCATTTTTCACCAAGAACCCCAATATACCCCCCTCCGACCCCTCCCAATGCCTGTGAGGCAGATGATTTCTACTTAACTCTTCTCTACATTGATTACATTCACTATTTCGACAAAAGATGCACCATTATTGTTTATAATCCCCCCCCAACAATCAGAATTGCTGAAAAGGCATTGTGAAATACTTTGTTTTCTATAGCTGGTTATGAGAATCATATAATGTCACGTGGCCATAATAGCCACCTAGCGATTTTGGATTTCTGCAAAGAGCCAGATAATTACGAGATTGGTTTCTGTGTGTCTGGTGTTATGGCCATGCCGGAGAGCCGCTTGTGGGGGGCAACTCGTGACCTTGGTAGAGCATGAAGGACGAGCCGGTACTGCCCCCCTTCCCATGAGACTCCAGTTGCCCCGTCACCGCCAGCTCATACCTGGCTTTCCTATAAGCTCTGAGGCGGCGGCCACCTTGCTGCTGGGGGGGAAAAAGGCAGAAGGGAACAACACCCTTTCCCTCTCAGGGAGGCATGGCACCATAGTTTAACACATGGTCCATTCGCTTTATTGCCGCAAGCTGCTGTGCTCTGGATTAAGTCCTTTTGCCTCTGGAGCCATGGCCCTGCCGGAGAGCCCCTCGTGGGGGGCAACTTGTGACCTCGGTAGGGCGTGAAGCTTGAACGTTCTTAACTGTGATACTCACCAGGAGATGGCTGCAGAGCTCCTGCATAAGTCTGCAGTGCTTGTACAAACCTGGTTGTGGTGCAGCTGAAAATCAGACAGGATCACACACGTGGTGCCACAGGGATTTGAACTCGTGACCACACCCTTACAAGTCAGGTACCATAAACCCTTGTGCTATTCCTCTGGGTATTAGGGGGGTTGTGCATCTGAACCCGGTGGGCAGGCAAGGCCTCATTGAGAAAGTGAATGTGAGCAAAATCCTCAAGGAGGGTGGAGCCAGTGGATGGAAGTGTGTCCAGCAGGGGGTGCTCCAGAACAGAATGGGGGAGGGGGTGACCTGAGCTACTGGAGCAGTGAAGGGGAGGCTAGAGCAGTGAATGGAATCAATGGTGGGAGGTGTGGGGAAGGTGTGGGCTGGAATGGCTCTGACCTTCACCCCAGGGGACACAGAGGCACAGGAGGACTTAGCACGGAGAGACTGAGCCAGGGGCCCCCAGGTCACAAGATTTGTTGCTGGGGACCAGCTGTGGGGTGGGCACTGGAGTCAGGCCAGAACAGTAGCAGATAAACTGCTTGGCCCCACCATCCTGGGTAGAGTTTACAGGCAAATCCAGGAGAACCCAGAGCCAATTGATAAATGTCTTTATTTTTGGTTTGTCTTCCAATGTCGGGGATTGAACCCAGCGGCTTGCATGCCAGGCAAGTGCTTTAGTGTTGAGCCACTGGCCTTGACGCGTCAATTGAATGTGGCATGTAAGAAACACAAAGGGACTGAGGACACCACCAGGGCATCCCAAAGTGGCCCTCTGGAGCGCTCAGCTCTAGCTGGAGGAAGAGACGGAAGCTCTTAGGGGACCAGAGCCTCCAGCAGCCACGGGCCCATGCTTTGAGCCCAGTGGCTGTTGAGTCCAGGTCAGTCCAGCCATCACTGTCTGTGGTCCCCGCCTCTGTCCCGGCCGCCATGCGTGCACTGGGTGACACCCCAGGCGTGTCCCTCAGCCACATTCCCCTGGCCACAGAGTTATCTGCATCACTCATAGTCATTCATTGTCACCCATGTATTGTGTCACTGGCATCAGCACTTGTCTTGGGTGGGGCTGGAACATGCCTGGAGGCTGGCAGGACAGTGGGGGGTGGTCAACCCTGACCCCAGTGTGGGTAGGGCTAGGATGGGGGAGCTCAGACCTCCCCCTGTTCTGCTGCCCTGCCTGAAAAGGGGTCAGGGAGGAAGTGAAGAAGCCAGGTGGCCTTTGTCTACCTTTGAGAACCCCACTCCCCACAGTCCACGGGGACAGCCACCAGTGGACAAGACAGCAAACATGCCCAGGAGGGCATAGGAGTTAGAGGGGCAGTGGGCGCAGAGGAGTTGGGGGCTGGACGGAAGGAGAAGGGGTGGTGTGGAGGAGTTGAGAGATGCCCCAAAGGTGACAAAGATCCTTTAGGCAGGCCTGCTGGAAGAGCAAGGAACCTTCTAGAAATTGCTAGAAGCAGGTGTGCTTTGCCAGTGGATGAAGAAAGAGCCCAGCCTGGGGTCAGGGCTCCATGTCACCTGTCACCTGGTCTTCTCTTTGCCCTTTCAGAATGAAAAATATCCTCCAACCCCCGGGCCAGAGAGAGAGTATAGTGGGCAGGGTACTTGATCTGTACCAAGATTACCTCAGTTTGATCCCTGGCACCCCATATGGTCCCTGAGCCCTGCCAGGAGTGATTCCTGAGTGCAGAGCCGGGAGTAAGCCCTGAGTACCGCCAGGTGGGGACCAAACCCTCCGAAAACAAACCAACCAAAAAACAAAAGAGAAACAAAGGGCCAAAGAGATAGTACAAGCAGGTAGGGCACTTATCTTGCGTGTGGGTGACCCAGGTTCAGTCCCCAGCACTCAATAGGGTCCCCTGAACCCTGCCAGGATAAGCCCTGAGCACTGCTGGATGTGGCCCTCAAACAGAAAACCAACCAACCCATCCCCACAGCCTCCACCTACTCTCTGACTATGCTGTGACCCCTTGATGCCAGGGGTCCAGCCCTGTCCCTGGGATCCTGGCACTGCTGTCCTCAGCCAGCTGAGAGCACCTCCCTAAGCTCAGATATTAGATCCCCGTGAGATCTCTCTAACCCTGGCACCTCCACCATGCACGTGGCTTCCTGTTCCTCATTTTGTCATTTTCTTTTTGTGTTTCTTTCTTTTTTGGCTTTTTGGGTCACACCTGACGATGCTCAGAGGTTACTCTTGGCTTTTCACTCAGGGGTTACTCCTGGTTCTGCACTCAGGAATCACTCCTGGAAGTGCTTGGGGGACCCAATGGATGCTGGGGATCGAACCTGGGGTGACCACGTGTAAGGCATCCCCCATTTTTCAAAGCACAGATCACCCTTGACCCTGAGTGGAGTGGACTTTCAATATGCTGAAGGGAACATCAGCCCCGTGAAAGCAAAGATCTGGGGTGCTGTCTGCTCCCCAGTATTGGGTGGGGTGGGGCCCAGCGGACACAAGGTGGACACCTGAGACATCCAGGCTGAGGGCCAAAGAGATAGCAGAGGGTAGGGTGTTTGCCTCACATATGGTCGACCTGAATTGGACCCTGGCATCCCAGAGGGTCCCTGGAGCACCACCAGGAGTGATTCCTGAGTTTTGAGCCAGGAATAACCCCTGAGCACTGCCAGACCAAAGCCAAACAAAACAAAAATAAAAAAGAGAAAGAAAAAGAAATCTGGGCTAAATAATGAAGGATGAAGGGGAGGAAGGAGGGAGGAGGGAGCACATGGCCTAGGAGCTGCTTGTCAGCCAGGCCACAGGCCGTGCTGGTGGGATGAGCTTCTGCTCCCTGGGCCGGGACCCTGTCTTGTCTCCTGTCGGAGTGCTGTGCCACTGTGTCACACCCTCCCTAGGTCCTGGGTCCCCAGGGTGGAGCAGGAGGAGATGGCCCCACAGGCATTGGCAGGAAATGGCAGAGTCCAGGAACCACAGCGGAATGTGTCTTTATTCCCGAGGTCCAGGGCACCACAGCCAGTGGGTGCTACCCGGGACCTGCCCCGTGTCACTCGGTCACTCTGATGGTCCCAACAGTCAGCGGGGGCCCCCACAACTCTGGTGGGGGACAGCTGCTCCAGCTTCCACCCCGCATGCACGTGCACGGCCTCCAGGGGAGTCAGGGCCCCGCCCTAGCTCCCGCCCGGACCTGGCAGTGCCTCACACCAGCCTGGGCAGCAAGGCTGGGTCCGTCACAGAGGGGACCCCTGGTCTCTAGAGGTACAGCATCCGGCCCTGCAGAGGTCTCACTACCCAGATGTCATCCACAATCTTCCCATCCTGCAAGGGGGAAAGAGAAGGCCGTGAGGGGCAAGAGCCCAGACTCGGGTCAGAGCCGTAGTACAGCAGGCAGGACACTGACCTTGCTCAATACCAACCCAGGTTCAATTCCCGACATCCATATGGTCCTCAGAGCCCCCAGAATCAGCCCTGACCGCAGCCTGGTGCAGCTCCCAACCAAACAAAACAACGCACACACACACACACACACACATTCACACACACACACACACACACACACTGACACACACACTCTCTCTCACACAGTTACACACACATACATATACACACACACATACAAAAATGAAAGTCTACACTCAGGAAGCAGTTTAAATACTGTGTACCTTGGGAGAGTACACTGACCTCTCTGAGCTTTCCTTTGCTACTTCTGAACAGTAGCAATGACAGTCACAGTCCCTACCTCTTTTGATGGTGTGGGGACATGCCTGTGAGCTATAGACCTTGTTCTATAGCTCAGGGCAGCCACTGTCCATCAGCCTTAGCACAGGGCTGACTTGGGAGGTATCTTCTGTGTTCCAAAACCCGGGGGCACCCAATGACATCAGGCAAGCCACAGCCGGGCCCCAGAGCACCAGCCCCATGGGCCATAAATGCCAGTTATTTGAAACAAAGAGCGTGTCTGAAGCTGGCGATGGCTCCCAGGGCTGGAGCACCGGCTTTGCATGTGGAACCCTAGGTTTCAGCCCCGCAAGGTCCCCCGGATGCCTCAGGGAGCATTCCCAAGCATCAGCTGGAAGGCACCTCTGAGCACCTCGGGTGGGGGCAAAAAAACCAAACAACAGCAACAACCAAAATTTAGTCCAGATAGTTAAGGCACTTGCCTTGCCTATGGCCGACCCCAGCTGTGGTTTTTGTGTTTGTTTTTGGGCCACACCTGGCGATGCTCAGGTGTCACTTCTGGCTCTGCACTCAGGAGTTACTCCTGGTGGTGCTCAGGGGACCATATGGGGTGCTGGGGATTGAACCTGGGTTAGCCATGTGCAAGGAAAGTGCTCTAAGCATCTCTGGGGAGAGGCTAGTTAATTACCAAAAGGAAACTAACTGCTGTGCTATCACTCTGGCCCGGCTAACCCCAGTTTGATCCCCAGCACTGCACAGAGTCCCCTAAGCACTGTCAAGGGTCACTCCTGAGCACAGAGTCAGGAGTAGCCCCTGAGCACTGCTGCCTGTGACCCAAAATCCCCCCCACCCCCGCCACACACACAATAATTAAGGTGACGGCAGGTAAGGGCTGGAACCCAGGCGCTGGGCTGTATGTTTAACCTCCGTGGCTGCCCCTCCTGACCTGGTCATCAGACACCTGCTGGATGTGGACGTGGGTCCCGTTCAGGATGTGAAGCCTCGTGTACCCGTATTCCTTCACCCGCACTGCGCTCCAGGGCCGGGGGAAGATGGCAAAGGGTGTCAGCCGCTCCTCGCAGCCCTGCAGGACAAAGAGGCTCACCGTGGGGGCCGCACTGGTGGATGGTGTCAGCTTCTTCAGGGGAGCAGAACGCCACGGCCCCCAGGGAAGACCAAGCTACTAAGACTTGAACTCCTTTTTTTTTCTGCTTTTGGGGTCACACCCGGCAATGCACGGGGGTTATTCCTGGCTCTCCACTCAGGAATTACCCCTGGCGGTGCTCAGGGAACCATATGGGATGCTGGGAATCGAGCCCAGGTTGGCCGCGTACAAGGCAAACGCCCTACCCACCTGTGCTATTGCTCCAGCCCTAAGATTTGACCTCCTTAGTGCGCGTGAAAGGCTGGTTCGACCCACCAAGACTTTCCCCGGCCCTTGATATTGATGTTTGGAAAATCGCATGGCTGCCTGTACAAAGACTCTGATAGCAGAAGTTTCTATATAAGGCCTGAGCTGGAAGTCCCCCAAAAAACCGTGGGGGTAGGATGAGTGAAATAAATGATGGTGTGACCACCACAAAGTCACTCATCCAGAAAGAGGGCTCAGAAGTATTGAGAATTGGGAAGATGCAATTCTCAGAAATCAAAGAAATCAGTCGGTCACAAGTCTGGTTACACAGTAGATCTTCCTAGAAGTCTTCTTAAAATTACACACAACCCCCCTGTCTCCCCCCCCACTTCCCTGGCTTGGGGGCTGGGGCAAGAGTTTATCCCTGCAATAGGACACTGGGCCCCAGGAGCAGAGGAGGGGGAGTTGCTGGAGTCACAGTTTTCAGCCATCAACCCTGGGTCGCAGAAAGAAGGGAGATTTGCACGGTCTCTAAGCATCTCTGGGGAGAGGCTAGTTAATTACCAAAAGGAAACTAACAAGCATCTGTTAATTTCAGAGGTGACAGGAGAGCAAGCAGCTGGTTTGCAGAGGCCAGCACATGACAGGGAAGCAAGTGACCCCAAAGCACATCAGGAGTGATGAGCTGTGCCCCGGGAAACTAAGGCTCACAGGGGTTCAGGGGTCACCCAGCAGGAGGCACTTAGAAGCACTGCATAGTGCTTTTGTGCGTCTTCACCCAAAAAAAGCCGTAGTAACTTCAACCTAATTAGGAGCATGCCTCAGGTCGACTACCTGAAATTATTGAGGGATATTCTACAAAATCAATATGCTATGAACTTGGAGATTTTCAAAGTCATGGAATGAAGAAAGAGCAGGGATGGGTTTCTGACTAAAGGAAGCAAAGAAGGAAAAAAAAAAGGGAACTGAAATAGATCCAGGATCTTAGACTAGCTCCAGGACTGGCAAAAATCAATCAATTAATCAATCTTTGATTTAAACAACGTGACAACTGGCTAAGTTGGAAAGAGTTGGAGGATTAGATGATAGTATATTATCAATGTTAACTCCTCAGCTGCCATTATTTTACAGTAGGAAAGTAAGAATGTCCCTCAAAACAAGACAGTGGCAGAGGGAAGAGATGGAGACATTAAAAAAAAAAAAACAAAGATGGAAGGAAACTGGACATTGGTGGTGTGAAATGTACACTGATAGAAGACATAGGTGTTGGAACACTGTATGACAAACTCAATCATGAACAACTTTCTAACTGTGTATCTCACTGTGATTCGATTAACAAACAAACAAACAAAGGTGTGCTGTAAAGATGAGAAAAAGGGCCAATTTTCTCTGGGTCAAAGGAGCTCTCATTCATTTTTTGTTGAGACTGGAGTCACAGTACAGAGGGTAAGGTGCTTGCCTTGCTGGCATCAACCTGGGTTCAATCCCTGGTAACCCATATGGTTCCCCGAGCACTGCCAAGAGTAATTCCTACATGCAGAATAACCAGAATTGACTCCTGAGCATTGCCGGGAGTGACCCCAAAACCAAAAAAAAAAAAAAAGGAAAGAAAAGAAAAAAGAAAAATCATTATTTGCTCTGGGGAACTTGATTTATGAGTCTTATCTTTCTCCTTTTTGGGGGGTGTGGGTGGGGGCATCTCTGGCCCTAGACAACATTTTTAAAAGACTACCCAAGAAAAGTGACAGCCCAGTGCAGCACTAGGAAGCGGTGTGGAGGGCTGGTGTTCACCTCCTGCCTCTGTACCGTTTGACTTTTAATCACCAGTGGTTCTTACTAATGTGTGAGCCTCAACTTCAAACACCAGCCTCGGGGCCAGGGAGAGAGTTCAAAGGGCAGGAGCAAATGCACGACATACTCAAGGCCCTGCGTTTCATCCTGGCACCTCAGTCTCCCAAGTACCATCAGATGGAGCCCTGGTGGGCCCCCAGTACCGCCAAGAAAAACCCTCCCTCCAACCCCATCAACCTCACTCCCTGCAGAAAGGCCCGAAATGAAGGCAGGGCTGGCAAAATCACCCGGGCATGTTGGCAGGACACATGAGCTGCCTCAACGAGCTTCCAACTGTGCAAACTCAAACAGACCAAGCAGCAGTGTGAATCACAGTAGCGTCAGGTTAGAACCCACAGAATCCAGTCAATGACCCAGGAGCCCACGCCGGTATGAATCAATAACTCACTGACCGAATAAATGGGGCCAGAGAGATAGTGCTCCCTTGGAGGCAGGAGGAAGAGTGGTGGTCTAATGAACCAGTCAAGGTGGCAGGAAGGAAGGAAACCAAGTTCCCACCAGAACACAGCAGGGATGGAGGCCACAGGGAGAAGGGGAAATGAGACAGTGAGTGTCTGAGGAGAGATGGGACGTGTGCATCGTGCATGGTGGAAGAGTCTCTCCCTGCAAGCGCTGGAGAGACAGTACAGCGGGCAGGATGCTTGCCTTGCATGCGGGTGACCCAAATTCGATCCCCTGTATCCCATATGGTCCACTGAGCACTGCCAAGAGTGATTCCTGAGTGCAGAGCCAGGAGTAACTCCTGAGCACTGGTGGGTGTGTTCCTAAAATCAAAAATAGGCATTTAGGGCCTGGGATAGAGCTTGGTAGTAGATAGAGCTTGGTAGTAGATTTGATTTATTCCAAAGAATAAATGAGTATTTATCTCCCCTAGAAAGACAGTCACTGAAAGAGAGGTTGTACAGTGGGAAGGTGCTTGACTTGCATGTAGCCAACCAGGATTCAATCCCCAGCACCCCATTTGATCCCCCCCAAGCCTCACCGGAAGTGATCCCTAAGCACAGTGCCAGAAGTGAGCTCTGAGTACTACCAGGTGTGGTCCCCCAAACACAAAATATTAAAAATAAATTAAAAGGGTGATCTGCAGGCCAGAGAGATAGTACAACAGGGAGGACACTTATCTTGAACCCGGTCAACCCGGTTTGGTCCCTAGCACCCCATATGGTCTCCTGAGCCCCACCAGGAGTGATCTCTAAGCAAAGATCCAAGAGTGAGCCCTGAGCACTGCTAGGTGTGGTCCTAATATCAAAAATTGGCATTTAGGGCCTGGGATATAGCTTGGTAGTAGATGTCCACCTGTATGAGTCCCTGAGCTCAATCCAGGACCATCCCATATGGTCCCCTGAGCACCGCCGGGAGTGATCTCTCAGCACAGAGCCAGGAGTAACCCTGAGCACCACCAGGTGTGGCTCTAAAACAAACAGGAAAGTAATAATAACATCTTTCAAAAAATAAAACAACAATGGGGCCGGAGTGATGACACAGCAGGGAGGGCATTTCCCTTGCATACAGATAACCCAGGTTCAATTCCTGGCATCCCACAGGGTTCCTTGAGCACTACCCGGAGGATTTCTGAGTGCAGAGCCAGAATTAATCCCTGAGCATCGCCAGGGATGACCCAAAAAGCCAATAAAGAAATAAAATAAAATAAATCAAACAAGACCTCAGACCCTGGATCCATTCCTAAGACCAGGGCCAGCTCCACCCCTGACTAGCAGAGCCTCTGTGTTTGCATCTGTGCAATGGGCCTACTCTGGGCATGGCTGGAGGCAGGGAGAGCAAAGGCCCCCAAGGGAGGGAGCAAGTGAGACCCCACTCGGTGCCCCACTCACGGCGGATCCTGTGATGATGTGCACAGGGCCTCGAGGGTTGGTGTACGGCATCTCCCGGCTGCCATTGAATACCTGCGGAGGGACAGGGTGGGGAGGTGTCACATAAGTCACACCTGGGCATGATCTGCACTTGCTCCCACGACCCGAAGTCTTACCTGATAGTTGTAAATCGGCCACAGCCGTTCATAAGAGTGTTCATGGGCCCACAGCTGTAGGTCGACCCCTGAGACAGAGTGAGTAGGGGTCAGGCCCAGGAACAGGAAAGCTGGAAGGCTGGGGGCTAGGGTGGGGGCATGGCAGGGGGGGATCACTCACCATATTTGTAGAAAAGATCCTCCAGCCCATACAGCTTGCCCCGAAGGCCTTTGCGTACCTAGGCAGACAGGCAGAGAGGAGCGGCTGGGGTGAGCCAGGCGGCCCCTCTGGCCCAGGGCACCGCGCATGCGCAGGGAAGTCCTCACCTTGCTCTCGTGGCGCGTACAGTCGTCCAGATCCAGGTTGGAGCAGTACATGGGTCGGTGGCCCATGGTGATGAGCCACGGGCGGGCGGCCCGGTTCTTGTTGGCTTTCTAGAGAGGCGGCCCAGGGTGAGGAGGGTCGCCGGGGTTAGGTGGGGCGAGGCCAGGGGAGGGGAACCCCTTCCGGGTTACCTGAAGATCTCTCTCCAGCCACCGAAACTGCCTCTCTACCAATTGGCGGCCGTAGTGGAGGAAGAAGTAGACCTCGGTGGAGAAGGAGATGATGTGCGCAGGACCCACGTCCCAGCTGCGAGAGGCCCAAGGGAGGGGTCCAAAGTGAGGGTGAAGGTTTGGGGGTGAAGGTGGGCCCCCAAACCCCACCCTGGCCCCGGGTTACCTGTACCACAGGCCTTCAGTGTTCCCTGGCATACTAAAGCGAGCCTTGTAGTTGGAGAAGTTGCTAGAACAAAGAGAATCAAGGAGTCGGGAATCCCATCTTCCTTTGCTTAGACCCAGCATGTGGGCCCCTCCCTTCCCCTCCCTTCGCTTCCCCTTCCCCACTCCCCTCCACATCCCTCCTCTCCTCTCCTCTCCCCTCCCTATGTCTCCCCTCCCCTCCTCTCTTTCCCTCCCCTCCTCTCTCCTCTTCTCTCCCCTTCTCTCTTTTCTCCCTTCCTCTCCCCTTTCCTCCCCTCCCTTCCCTCTGCTTTTCTCCTCTCCCCCCTCTCCCTTTTCCTCCCCTCCTGTCCCTTCCCCCTCCTCTACTCTCCCCTTTTCTCCCCTCCCCTCTTTTCTCCCCTTCTCTCCACTCCCCTCTCCTCCCCTCCCCTCCCTTCACCTCCCCTCCCTTCTCCTCCCCTTCTCTCCCTCTCCCTCCCCTCCTCTCCCCTCTTCCTCTCCCCTTCCCTTTTTCTCCCCTTCTCTCCCTTCCTCTCCTCCCTTCTCCCCTCCTCTCCCCTACTCTTTTCTTCCCTCCCTCAGTTGAGTCTAAAGGGGCTAAGGTGAGAGACCAAGACTTTTGACTTTTAGGGACTCCCTACCCCCGCAGGCCCCGGCCCTTACTAGCGTTCCTCGTGGTTGCCAGGGCATGTCATGTAGGGCAGGCTGGCTGCCACGGGTTCAATGAGTCGCATGAACCTGTCACCAACACGGCCGTTGTCCTGATCCATGTTGTAGGCAAAGTCTCCTGGGGAGTGGGGGTGCAGAGAGGAAGTGAGGACCCTGAAATGACAGAGCTGGCTGATCGGGTAGGGGGGATGTGGCAGTCCGAACCCATGGGTCTCCAAATCCTGCCTCATGCCTACCTGCATGTGTGCCTGGAACCATTCCCTGCACTTCTGCTGCCTCTGGACCCCTGAAGGACGCTGCTGGTTTCCTTTGCTTCCATCTAGCCAGACCCCGTCTCCCCCGGCCCTGTCCCCTCCCATCGCTTGAGACTGATGTCTCTTGGTCCTGTTTTGGATTGGGCACAGCTCTACGCTCCATCCCCTGAATCCTCAAAGCTCTGCAGGAGAGGGGTGCTATTGCCCTCCTCACTGCAGAGGCAGGGGCTGTGGCCTTGGAGACTTCCAAGTTTGCCCCAAGTCTCAGAGCTGGTGAATGAAGACTCAGGGATCATTCCCCCAGATCACTAAAGCAGGGTGGATACTCCAGAAACAGTCAAATAGTCCAGAGGCCTGTTGGATGCTGAAGGCATCGAGGTCCTGGGAGCAACAACAGAGGGAGAGCCAGCACCCACTGCTCTCAGCTTGGGACTTTAGCTGGACATCTGGTCAACCAGACACCATCAATGCAGTCAACTTTTTTGGAGGGTGGGGCAGTGATTTGGGGTCACATCTGGCAGTCAGGGACTATACCAGCTTGGTGTTCCTGATGATGTTTGGGGATCCTGAGGTACTGGAAAGTGAATTTAGGACACTCACATGCATAGTGCGTACCCTAACTCACTGAGCCACTACTAAATAATCATCACACTTGTTTTTAAGTAATATCAGCACAATTGGGGAAAATAAAAAAATAGAAGGTGTGCTGAATGATGGTATAGTTAAGGCAGATGCCCAGCATGGGTTGGCCTGGCTTGCTTCCCAACACCACACGGTTTTCCCAGCACCACTGAATACAGCCCTGGGTGTTCCCTCTCCCCCCACCCCCCCCCCCCGCAACCCATGACCAGGTGACCTCCAGGCCAGCATTCTTGGACCCTCACATTGAACTGTGACCTGGTTGGCTGAGAACCACCAGAATAGACTCCCCTTTGCTTCTCGACATCACTTAGAGACCCCCCCAAAAAGGGTTCACATAATGATCACTCCCCACTTTTTTGTTAAAAAAAAAAACTGGTCTAAACTTGCAGCTATGATATGACGAAGCCAGTGTCGCCTATGGCCCTCCAAGGCCAGTCCCATCCCCTCCATGGTCCTGGCACTGCCTCCCCGATGCCCCTCAACTCTCCCCCACCTCCAGACGCGTGTGTCCAAGCCTCACCCACATGGAGAATGGCATCGTACAGGCCCTGCTGGGTGTCCCGGCGCAGCCGCGGGAGGGCCTTGGGGTTGTCAGCCCCCAGGTCCCCAAACACAGCCAGTCGGGGGCTCCACTGGGTTCCTCGCTTCAGGGCCCTGAAGCGGAACCGGCGGCTCCAACCTTGAGGGCTGCCACAGCGGTACACTAAGGGGCAAGCAAAGGGATGGTCACCCCAGGGGGTCTCCCCCTTGCACCCCTACCCCCAGCCATCCTCACCCATGCAACGGCCATAGCAGCCCAGCCCGAGCCACCTCCCCTGTGCCCCTTCTCAGCCATCTCCCAGTGCTCATTCTCTTCCCCCCACCCCCCCCGCCACAGCTCCACCTCGAGCCTCTCACCGTACTGGGCTCCAGGCAGCAGCCCCCGCAGCGTGACCCGGTGGATGTAGAGCTTCCGCCGAAGAATCCCCCCGTCCACAAAGAGGCTGGCAGCGCCCTGTGCCCGCAGGAGCAGTGGTCCCGAGAGCTGTGTGCCGAACTGCACCTCTGAGCGGGTGGGGACCCAGGTGGTCCAGGTGACAGTCATGGAGCCTGGCTCCCCTGGGGAGGAAGGGACAGAGACGCTGAGACCTGGGTAGGCCAGATACGGGTCTGATGAGCAGGGTGGGGGTCCTAACGGGGGAGTGGGGCACTATGGACCAGCCATCAATGATTGGGATTCCAAAGCTGCCAGGTTCTATACAGCTCCGCGCTGGGCACGCTGCTTTCCTGGGAGGGAGTCAGGCTGTGCTCAGGGCTTCCTCCTGGCTCTGTGCTCAGGGATCACATCTGGAAGGCCTGGGGGACCATATGGGCTGGTAGGGATTAAACCTGGGTCATCCACACACAAGGCAAGTGCCCGGCCTGCTGTACTAACTCTCAGACCCCACCTCTGTTTTATCTGGGGACTGGAACCCTCGAAGTATTTGGAACTAGTGGAGGAGCCCAAGGCACAGGCTCCAGTGGGAGGTGTGGTTTAGTAATGTTGGGGTCCACCATAGACACAGATAAAGGATGTTCCTTGCAGGCAGGACCACTTGGCGGGGTGTGGAATAGACACGACCATCCGTTTGGGCTATGCCACTTGACGACCTTCACACAAGTATGAAAACACCTAATGACACCTTTCTCGCTCATAACTCTTTGTGAGCAGGACAGGACGGCAGAGGGGATGGCAGTGGGTAGACTCCATCTTGGGTGGAGGCTGACAACAGGTGGAGTCACATCTTATGGTGCTCAGGGCTTCCTCCTGGCTCTGTGCTCAAAAACCACTAGTGGCAGTGCTCAGGGAAATTCTGCATAACAGGAGATCTAACTAGGGTCGGTCACATGCAGGGCAAGTGCCTTAATCCTGGTACTATCTCTTCTTCAGCCCCTGGGAAAGTGGATTTTTTTTCAATTTTTTTATTGTATCACTGTGAGAGAGCCCATTACAAAGCTGTTCATGATTGGGTTTCAAAATACATGGGTGTAACCCAAAAAGCAAAACAAACAAACAAATACATGGGGCTGGAGCCATAGCACAGCAAGTAGGGCATTTGCCTTGCACACGGTCAACCGGGGTTCGATTCCCAGCATCCCATATGGTCCCCCGAGCACCACCAGGAGTAATTCTTGAGTGCATGAGCCAGGAGTAACCCCTGTGAATCACTGGGTGTGAACTCCCCCAAAAGAAAAAAAATACAGTGTCTCAGGGCCAGAGTGATAGTATAGCAGGTAGGGCAATTTGCCCTGCACACAGACAACCTGGGTTCGATCCCCGGCATCCCATATGGCCCCCCAGGCACCACAAGGAGTAATTTTCTGAGTGCAGATCCAGGAGTAACCCCTGAGCATTGCTGGGTATGATCCAAAAAGAAAACAAAAAAAATCAAAATACAGTGTTCCAACACCCATCCCTCCACCAGTGTACATTTCCCAGCACCAGTATTCTCAGTTTCCCTCCCCCACCAATTTCCACCGCCCCCCTAAGCCAGCCTCTATGGAAGGCTCTTCCCTCCCCCTCCTTCCCCCTTTCCCTCTCCTTTTTCCAGGAGGGGTGGATTCTTTCATGTTCATTATATCCTGTGAATGGATATGGGTCCAGCTTTCTCACACATTGTCTTGACTTAGGAGACCAAGGCACAGGGACGAGGGCTGCGGTCAGGAGTGAAGCAGCAGGAGATGTGGTGAGCACAGGGTGCTGTAGGCCTATTCACTGTCTCAAAGGGAAGCCCCCCAGGAAGCAGTCCCCATGCCACCACATCTGGCACCTCTTAGACTCTGGGGTGCTTAACTTCCTGGGAGCGGAGGGAACTTCCTGCAAATGCAGCTATGCAGGGATAGCCCCTCACTAATGTTCCCAACACTCTTGGGGCTGGGGATGTGGCTTGAATGGCAGAACAAGCACCTGACATGCATGAGGCCTGAGTTCCATCCCTGACACTGTATGTTCCTCCCGCTTCTATCACAGGGTGAGGATCAGGTGTTCTGAGGCTTGGCCTGAGCTCTAGCAGACCTGAGTACTTGGTGGCGCGGCCCCTCCAACTATAAGATAAAGAGTTAGGGGCCGGAATGATAGTACAGTGGGTAGGGCATTTGCTCTGCATGCGGTCGACCTGGGTTTGATCCCCAGCATTCCATATGGTCCCCCAAGCATCGCCTCAGGAGTGTTTCCTGAGTGCAGAGCCAGGAGTAACCCCTGGGCATCGCTGGGTGTGACCCAAAAGCGAAAATAAATAAATAAATAAATAAGTTAGATGAAAACACCGACCAGAGTGGGCCAGAGAGATAGCACAGCAGGTAGGGTGTTTGCCTGGCACGCAGCCCACGGGGTTCAACCCCCGGCACCCCTCGGCACCCCCAGGAGGGATCCCTGAGCTCAGAGCCAGGAGGAAGGCCTGAACACCTCCGGGTGTGGCCCCCAAACAAAACAAAAGTTATGAGTCAGGCTGAGGGAGGTAAAAATAAACCCTGAGGCTAGGCGAAAATCAGAAGGTCAGGGCCAGGGAGACAGTTGGATGGGCTGAGAGCAAGCTCTGCGTGCTGGGTGGAACACCGGATAGCAGGTGGTCCCCTAAGCACCGTCTGGGGAACCCACGCACACAAAGCTGGGAGTGGTCCCTGGGCACCACCAGATGTGGCCCCGAGACCGAAGGAAAGCAGTTATAAAGTTATATGAACGACGTGGCACTCTTGGAGCCCAAAGAAGGGAAGAAACCCACGTGAGCAGCGCTGCGCATGCGCGTGAGGGCATACCGGGAAGCAGCGGCCCAACCCGGAAGTAACCTGGATTTCCACGGTTAACCCACCAACGTCTTCCCTTTCCAAATACCCGTTAACTCCTGCAAGGAGCCAAGAGTCCTAAGAGATGTCACTGGTTTCAGATACAGGACAAAATATAGATGAGACCTGAACCATTGGTTCCCAGGGAAGGAAGAAGTGATTAAAAACAAGGCGGCTGTTGGAAAGTGCAGAACTGATTTGGAAGGAATTTGAGGGGAAAAAATCTGGATCATTTGAGCCACTCAATCGCTAGCCATTGTATTGGCTTTTTTGTTCGTTTGTTTCTGGACCACACCTGGCAATGCTCAGAGGTTATTTCTGGTTCTGCAATACAGGAGTTAGTCCTGACATTGCCTCTGGGACTCTATGGGGTGCTGGGGATTGAACCCTTGCAAAGCAAGCACCTCACCTACCATACTATCTCTCCAGCCCTGTATTGTGGGTGTGTGTGTGTGCGTGTGTGCATGTGCATATGTGCATGTGCGCGTGCACGTGTGCGTGTGTGTGTGTGTGTGTGTGTGTGTGTATCTCAGGATGGGGGGAGAGGTGTTGAACTACACATGGAGGTGCTCAGGGTTTACTCCTGACTCTCCGCTCAGGGATCCTCTTGGAGGTGCTTAGGGGACCCATATGGGGAGCTGGGGTTCTATCCCAGGTCACTCTCATGCAAGGCAATCCCCTTAACCCCCTGTGCTATCTTCTGACCCTGTATTGGCTTTTAGACCACAGAATAAAATAAGTACCCATGAGTCCATGTCCACATATATAGACTTCTCACTAGGTGAATAAGAGGGGAATGGGCAGATGGCCCAAAGGGCTGAAGTTCATGCTTTGCATGTAGGAGTCCCAGATTTGATCCCCAATGCCACATGATCCCCTGAGTTCCAAGCCCCAAAGCACTTCCCAAAGCATTGCCAGGTATGGCCCCCACAAAAAATTAGAAAGGAACAAAATATTAAAAGAAACAGCATTTCCTTGGAGTGAAATTCCAAATGGAAAAAGGGAATTGGAAAATCAAAAACTTGCAAATAGGTAGGGGATGTGACTTGGTGGTAGAGCCTTTGCCATACGTGTGTGAGGCCCTGTGCTTCATCCTCAGCACAGCTACCGCTACTCCCCCCGAAAAAGAATCCCAATTAGGCAAACATCATGCTAAAAACTGTGGCAGACACAATCCGCAGACAGATGCTGAAATTTGTGGGTGAAGGTTTCAGGAAGAGAAACCTGACTTGCATAATTTCAAGTAACCCTCTACACCCCAAGATATTTATTAACTACAGAGGATACAAGAAAAGCTCTTGGGGATGGAGAGATAGTACCATGGGGAGGGCACTTGCTTTGCACATGCCAACCAGGTTCAATCCCATGCATCCCATCTGGTCCCCTGAGCCCTCCAGCAGTGATCTCTGAGTACAACTGGGTGTGGCTAAAAATAAAATAACAACTTTCCAGGGGCTGCAGAGAGAGCTCAGGGGTTAAGGTACTTGTCTTGCATGTGACTGACCTGGGATCCATTCATGTATGGCCCCTAGCCCGATCCCTGCCATGAGTAATCCCTAAGCACAGAGCCAGGAGTAAGCCTTGAGCACAGCCGCTGTGGCCCCAAACCAAAACAAACAGAAGAATCAAAGCTCTGCAGTAGAGAAATCTAGCACAAGGGACCAACAGGGATCACAGGATGGGGTCAGTGAAGGCCACCCTCCATCATATCAGCAAGAAGTCTATGAGGATGTCATATCTGTGACCTTTTCCCCAAACCCCTCATTCCAACCTTGAGCAAAATCAGCCCTAAACAGGGTTTCTTGCAGACCCACTCAGCAGGCAAACCCTATGAGTGCTGAGTGGGAGGCCAGGAGCAAGTGAGAACTGGGAAAATTGAGGAGATCAGGAAGACACAACAACTGGATCTAATGTGGAGTCCCAGGCACCGACTCTGGGGGTTCCTGTACCCCCATTCAGGGCGCACGATCTCCTTTGCAGCATTCCACCCTGGTCTGGTCCTTGTCTCCCTCTTCTCTATTCAGCTTGACCCCTCCAACCTTTTTTCCATCCTGTGCCCCCTCCCCAACCAGGTCCTCCCAGTTGGACCCTCGTCTTGCGCTATGACCCTCTGATTTATGCGATTTTTCACCTGCACTCAGGAATTACTCCTGGCCGTGCTTGAAGGACCATATGGGATGCCGGGGATCAAACTTGGGTCGGCAGCATGCAAGGCAAATGCCCGACTCTCTGTACTATCGCTCTGGCCCCTGCCTTTACTTTTTTACCTTTGTTTTCTCTGTCTTTCTCTTCAGAGAATTCCACATATTCCTTAGAATTAATATCACTAGGGCTAGAGCAATAGTACATCAGGTAGAGCATTTGCCTTGCATGTGGCCGACCTGAGTTCGATCCCCAGCACCCCTTAAGGCCTCCCAAACACTTCCAGGAGTGATTCCTGACTGCAAAGCCAGGAGTAAGTCAAGTGTTGTGATCCAAGTACAAAAAAAGTATTAATATTGTCCCTCACTAAAATAATTTTTCTTCACTAAACATGAAACAACAACAACAACAAAAATAGGAGGGACTTGAGAGATGGCTCAAAGGGCTGGGGCAGGCTTTGCAGGCAGGAGACCTGGGTTTGATGCCTGATACCACATGTTACCTGGAACACCACCAACTACCCAGAACTGAACCAGGAGAACCTCTGAGCACTGCTAGGTGTGACAAGAAAACCTCAAACAAAGCAAACACACACAAACACATACACACTCAAAAAAATAAAAAAAAAAAGGAATCTTGTCCTGGATCTGGGGTGAAAAAGGGTGTTTGTGAGAAAACTGTGGAATTGTAACAAGGCCTGTTCATGTCCAGGTTTTACCCACCCACGGCCTCACAGAGCTATAAGATACCAGGAGAAGCTGGGAAGAGGCCAAGGAAGCTATGGTGTGTGTGTGTGTGTGTGTGTGTGTGTGTGTGTGTGTGTGTGTGTGTTTGCAAAATTTCAGTCAAATCTCAAGTCAGTGCAACAGTTGAAGTTTCAAAAACCAAGATTGGGGCTGGAGGGCTGGAGCGTGAGGGGAGGGCGCTTGCTTTGCCCGCATCTGATCCAGGTTTGGTCTCTGGACTCTTCTATGGTCTTCCCCTGAGCACCCCCAGGACTGATCCCTGAGTGCAGAGCCAGGAGAAAGCCCTGAGCACTGTTGCATGTGTTCCCCACACCAAACCAAGACTGTCAGGGCAGCCTGCCTGCAGTTGCATTTCAGACTCAGATCTGGGGTCAGCACCCTCATCTCCCTGAGCCCCTGAGCTTCAGCTTATACTTCAGCTTATACAATGGGAACCATAGTAGTTGCTCCCGCTTCAGGCCAGTGTGAGGTCAGCAGAGGTACCCAGTCAGAGCACTGCTGTGTGAGAAAAATCTTTGTTCTAATTATTGTGGAGGCCAAACAAAGGGATGCTGTGAGCTCCTGGGGGCTGTCACCCAGTAGCTCCCTGAGAAGGTTATTTGTCCTTCGACTCCACAGAGGCCTGCAGGCAAAGGACCTGCTCCAACATTACTGGCCAGCAAATGCCAAAGCTCTTTCCTGGGCTTTGGAGTCTACAGAGACACAAACCTTTCAGGAAGATTTTTCTCTAGGTACTGGGGCTGAGAAAGAGTACAGCAGAGTCAGTGCTTGCCTTGCATGTGGCTGACCCAGATTCGATCCCTAGTACCCCAGAGGGATGCCCAAGTTCTGCCAGGAGTGATCCCTGAGCACACAGCCAGAAGTAAGCCCTGAGCACTGCTGAGTGTGGCAAAACCGTAACACACACACACAAACACACAAACACAGCAACAAAAACGAAAATCCACCTCAGGGTCAGAGTGATAGTACATATAGGACCTTGCACGAGGCTGACCCAGGTTTAATTTCCCAGCACCCCCAAATGGTTCAGGAGTGATCCCTGAGTGCAGAGCCAAGAGGAATCCCTGAGCACTGCTGGTCCCCAAGACAAAACAATTAAAAAAGAGACTTTCAGAGATGTACATTAATTCACTCTTCTCCTTAAACTTTTCTTTTGACAAGATAGGTTTTTTTTCCCATGAAAAAATGTCATTTCTGGTGGAAATTCTGTTTGGATTCCTGATACCTCATAATCCCCTGAGCACCACCAAGAGAGACCCTTTCACACCCAAAACTGAGCTAGTAGGATCCTGTGAGCACCACCAGCTATGACACCTCAAAACATACACACACATGCCATTTCCCTTAACACAGGCTGGTTTATACGAAATGATTTGACAGATGCTTATAAATTTCCTTATTTAATTTTAAGATGACAAAAATGAGTGACTATACACCCTGAAACTAAAGCTCCTTGGCATTCTCTGTGGCTTTGAGCACCACAAAGAGTGAGTTAAAACACCACCACCATGAGCCAAAGAGCACCCGGCCCTTCCCAAGCAAAATCTTGCCACTTGTGGCCTCAGGAGAATCACCCCACTTTCCAGAGAAGAAAACTGAGGCCTGTGGGATCAGTTGCATGCCACAGTCACATGGAGGCAAGCAGCACAGCTGTGGCTTGGCCGGGTCACTCTGGGGCAGAGGTCATGAGTCCAAAGTCTTACTGCCCACTTCCCTCTTCTGGAGGTCTGGGGACAGCTTGGTGGGATAGGCACTGCACCATCAGACCATCTTTGCCTCTGATTTGGGGGGGGGGGGGCATCTTTTTTTTTTCTTTTGACCCACACCCGCTAGTGCTCAGGGCTTACTCCTGGCTCTGTGCTCAGGGATCAAAGCTGGCTTGGCCACGTGCAAGGCAAGCAGCTGTATGATGGCTCTGGCCCCGTTTCTTTAGGTTTAAGGTTGACTGTGCTGCCAGTCAGGTCCTGGAGACAGTCAACGACACAGCCCAGGACAGCGTTAGACTCATTCACAGAGGTGGGGGCTCTCAGCAGGGCACCCGAATCCCTTCCCCTACAACCAGCTCACCCCTGCTGTATAGCCCCATTGCTCAGAAGTGGACTACTGAGGCTCGGGAAGTAGCCAGGGCCCCACCATGACCTACAGTGCAGGGTTCCTGGGCACACCACCTGTAAATGCTCGGGGTGGGGGGGTCCCCGACACTTACCTGGGTAGGACAAGTGAACTTGTTCTGGGAGGGCGCTGGGGGGCTCCGGCCGTCCCCAGGCCCCCAGGATGGAAAGGAGAAACAGACAGCAGCAGGGCAGGTGGGGATGAAGGGGGGGCATGGTGGGGGGGGGAGGGGGGGAGGAGAGGAGAGGGGAAGGGCAGGGTTTCTCGAGGCGCAGCAGGGGCTCAGGCTGGGTCCCCAGGGAGGCAGGTGGCCTGAGGCTGGAGGAAAGAAGGGAACTGTGAGCTGGAGCTTGTGGCTCTGGCCGGTTGGCCGACTGGCCACCCACCCGGAGCTTGCTGAGCACTTTGCATAGAGTCAGGGACGCCTCCCAACATTCCTGCGCGTGCTGGCTGCTGCATCACCCGCAGTGCCAGTAGTGAGCGCCCTGTGATTCAGCTGCACCCCAGGACGTGAGGGAGCTGGTCAGGCTGCTCCCTCGGGGTGCAAGAGACTCCATAAGGGTTGGGGGGGGGGCGGTGAGTGGCTCCTGGCAACCCCATGCCCAGCCTTCCGTCCTTATCTCAGTGACCCGAATTTCTTCGACTTCATTTCCTAAATCCAGGGGTCCACCCTGCTCCCAGGGAACCCCTTCTCCCTACTCCATTTCAGTGACCCGAAAGCCCAGCCCCTACTCTAGCCACCGCCCCCTCCCTGGAATTCCGTGCAGGAACCAGGGGGCTCCTTCCATCCACCTGCCTGGGCATCCCGTCCTGCAATCGCTCACCCCGTCTCTCTCCGGAGCTCCCGGGGTACCCCTCTAGCTCTCCACCTGCACCCACGCGCCCCCCAGTCCTTGCAAACCAGCTCCAGCTGGGGTGGGGGGCGGGCACTGACGGGGTGTAAGCTGCAGTGAGGTGCGGGGCGCCCTCCCGGACCCCAGCTCACCCTTCACCCTCGGGGGCGCCAGCTGCTCGCAGGCAAAGCGCGTCTGCGGCCACAGTGCGCCTGGCGGTATTTATGAGTTTGGAGGCGCCCGAGCCTCCCGCCGCCCACAACCGTCCCAGCCCCGGAAGAGCCAGCCGCCTGGAGATGACGGGCTGCCCAGACAGCCGGGGCCCCGGGTCCCACAGGTCAGGCCGGTCCTGAGCGCCCCACGCCCACCTGCCCACCCCCCCGGGGGCGGGGCGTGGGAAGGGGCACCCAGCAAGGTTTGGTAGGTCGCTGCCGCCGCAGCCACCACCTCCAAGCTGGCCACCAGGTGAGCACCCGAACAGGAACAGGTAAGGCTCATCTCGAGGCTTATCCCTCAGGTGCCCCACCCCACAGCTGCGGAGCCCCGCTGAGGGCACGGACAAGGCCCCCACCCCCAAGCCCGGCAGAATGCAGGTGTGTTGGGCCTTTGCCAGCGACCGGGAACTTCCCCCTGCGCTTCCCATCCTCCAGCCTTCCGCCTCTCTCTCCCCTGCCTCCCTCCCTCTTCAAGCTTAGCCCCAGATTCCTCCCCAGAACCCCATCGCTTCCCCAGTAAACAAAATGAAATTCCACCAAGGCCAGCGCTGTTCCGTGCTGCGGGTCTAGGTGGGTTACCTGGGTTCCTGCCTGCAACGTTCCAGCCCATGGACCCAGGTAAGGATTAACCAGACACCTGACGCCCTCCTGGCCCGGAGCAGCTCTTATTTTACGGTCATTAAAACATGAACTCCAGCCCGGGGAGGCAGCACAGTGGGTAGGGCGCTTGCCTTGAACCTCTTAGGACCCACATTTGATGCCCGGCATCCTATATGGTCCTCCCTGCCTTGCCAGGAGTAATTCCTGAGTGCAGAGTCAGGAGTAAGCCCAGAGTCAGGAGTTCACCAAACACCAAAGAAATAAAATATACAACAATAATAAAACATGAACTTCAGGAGCTAATTCCTTACCCAATAAGGCTCTTGCCTTGCACGCAGCTCACCTGGGTTCCCATGCACCACATACTCCCCAGCACCGCCAGGAGTGATCTGAGTAGGTTGTGACCAATACAAATAAAAGACAAACAAAAAGAACATGAATTCCAGAATCCCAGAACCAGCCTTGGGGTCTGGGGAGGGAGAGAAAGGACAGCAAGCGAGAATGTGCCCTGGCAACCTTGGCAAGCTGTGACGGGCCATCCAAGATGGCATTGGGGTGGGGGTGGGGATCCCGGAGCAGCAGGTGAGACGTGATTATTATTCTTTTTTGGGGGGGGAGGGCAGGGGGCACACCCGCAGTGCTCGGGGCTTACTCCTGGCTCTGCACACAGGGATCACCCCTGAAGGGCTTGGCGGACCCTAAGAGATGCCAAGGATCAAACCCAGATTTGCTGTGTGCAAGGCAAGTGCCCTCCTAGTAGTACATAGCTCTGGCCCAGCAGGTAAGATGTGGATTGTGGTTTTTACATCCCTACCTAGAAACTTGACCATGAGTACAGGGGGCCTGCGAGCTGGAGACCCTGCGGCTGATACCGGACCCCGAAGAAGGGTAATTTCACCATGCCCTAATGCCCAGGCTGTGGTTCAAGGGTAACACATACACATGCCTTGCATGTGGGCAGCCCTGGGGTTCAATCCCAGCACCACTGGAATCAGTCCTGTGTGGCTTGCACACAAGGTTTTAAAACAGAGTAAGCAGAGGCTGGAGAGAGAGTACAGCAGACAGGGAGCTGGCCTTGTACGTGGTCAACCCCAGCATCCCACTGAACAGAAAGCCAGGAGCAAGCCCTGAGCACAGCCAGGTGTGGTCCTAAAACAATGATGATGATGATGATGATAATAATAATAGTAGTAATAATAATAATAATAGGCCAGAGAGATAGTACAGCGTGTAGGGTGTTTGCCTTGCACATGCTCAACATAGGTTCAAGTCCTGGCATCCCATAGGGTCCCCCAAGCCCACCTGAGTGATTTCTGAGTGCAGAGCCAGGAGGAACCCTTGAGCACCACTGGGTGTGGTCCCCAAACCAGAAATAATAACAATAAAATATAGCAATCATAAGACGGGCTTCCTGCTCTATTTAGCTTCTCTCCCCCTTCACTTACAGAACCCCCGCCCTGCTGTACAGCTTCAAATTTATTTCAGAGCGACTGTCCCAGCCATTTGCAAATATGCTCAGCCCCCGCATCCCACCCCCAGTCACAGGCAAACTCCCTGTAGCTTTCCTTGTTGTTGTTGTTGTTTTTCCCCTGGTGCTCTTCTAGAAGCTGCACTTCTTCACCTCTCTTTGTGCAAAAACCACCTCTGTGGGCACGCTGGGGAAACACATTGCCAGCTCCCTAAATAAACACGCAGGATGCAGAGGCTACTGAATGACAGGCAGGCAAACCTTTCTCAAGTCAACGTGCGTGCCTGCCGGTAATCTGTGTTCTCCTTGATGAACTCATTATGCTTGGAGATTGGCAGGTTCAAGAATTCTGGCATTTAGAAGTTTTGATGAGTGTCTAGGAGCTGTTTAGTAGCTGCCTAGAATCCCTCCCAGTCACAGTGGGATTTAAAAACCTCTGTGATTCACCCCCAACCCCCTGCCCGGCCCGGGAGGCTGCTGATAGTCCTGTGCCCTGTTCCCCCACCTCTTTGGCAGAATACGCTGCTTTTCAGTTCCTGCAGCTTCAGTCTTTCTTGTCTTGTTTTCTTTTGTTTTGATTTGGGGGCCACACCCAGCAATGTTCAGGGGTTGTTCCCAGCTGTGTTTGGAAGACAATGAGGTCCCAGGGGACAAACCTAGGGCACCCGAGTGCAGAGCAAGTGCTCCAGCCCTTTGAGCCACCTCCTCATCCCACGTGTTACGAGTCACCCTTTCCTGCGCAGAACAATAGTACAGCGGAGAGAAAGCTTGCCTTGCATGGGGCCAACCAGGAGCCAGGGTTCGATCCCTGGTACCCCATTTGGTCCCCTGAGCATCACCAGGAGTGTTTCCTGAATGCAGGGCCTGGAGAAACTCCTGAGCATTGCAGGTGTGACCCCAAAAACAATAATAACAGAACATTGACCCTTTCAAGACTTACTGAGAAGTCTAAAGCGCTTTTGTGTCTGTGGTATCTCTCATTACATTTGCCACAAAAGAAAAGAAGTCTTAAGTTTTTTTTTTTAATTTTTATTTTTTTTAAATTTTTGTAATGAATCACTGTGAGGTACAGTTACAGACTTACAAACTTTCGTGCTTACAGTCATACTTTCAGTTATACAATGATCAAGTGCCCATCCCTCCACCACCACTGTTCCCAGTATCCCTCCCACCACCCCCCACCACCCCCTGCCCCCGCCTTTGTGGCAGGCACATTCCCTTTCTCTCTCTCTCTCTCTCTCTCTCTCTCTCTCTCTCTCTCTCTCTCTCTCTCTCTCTCTCCCTTTGAGTGTTGTGGTTTGCAATACAGGCATTAACTGGCCATCATGCTCAGTCTATACTCTATTTTCAGCACACATTTCCCACCCCAAGCGGTTCCCCCAAGCATCCTTTACTTGGTGGTCCCTTCTCTATCTGAGCTGCCTTTTCCCCCAGCATGTGAAGAAACCTTAAGTTTTCAGGGGCTGGAGTGATAGCATGGGTAGGATGGCGTGATAGTGGGTAGGGCACTTTTGCCTTTACAGTGGCCAACTTAGCTTTGATCCCTACCATCCCATATGGTCCCTTGAGCCCCTCTGGGAATAACACTAATCATACCCAGGTGTGGCCCAAAACCAAAAATTAAAGTAAAAGTAAAAAAAGAAAAGTGAGTTGGGGGCCACATCTGACAATGCTTAGGGGTTCCTTCTGGCTCTGCACACAGAAATCATTCCTGTTAGTGCTCAGGGGACCGTATGGGATATTAGGGATTGAACTTGGGTCGGCTGCATGTAAGGCAAATACCTACCCACTTTGCTAGTTCTCTGTCCCTGGAAAACTGAGTTTTGAAAGCAAATAGCAGAAAGAGTCCAGGCAGGAGTTAAGGCACTTACCCTGCATGTGGCAGACCTTGGTCCCATCTTTGCCACCACGTAGGAAGGCTCCCCAGGCACCGCCAGGAGTAATCCCTAAGCACAGAGTCAGGAGTAAGGCCTGAGCACCGCCAGAAAAGGAAAAAAGATGGAGAAAGCAGTTTTTATTTTATTTTTTTGTTGTTGTTTGTTTTTTTTGCTTTTTGGGTCACACCTGGAGATGCACAGGGGTTACTCCTGGCTCTGCAC